GGATATAAGGTGTCCTACCTGGTTAATTATCCGTTAAGTTGGTTAAACATATATAGACGTTGGCATACATACACTCATAGACACACACAAAAGATATTTGTTGTCATCACTATGACAACGATCTTGTATCAAAAACATGTCCAACACAAATAAAAATGTATCATACACTACATGGTATATATATATATATATATATATATATATATATATATATATAAGGTTAAAAAAGATACAGTTCTGAATTCCCTTCTAGTATGAATTCTGATTTCCTGATGAATTTACATCAAATTCTGGTAGATTCGGGTCATCGTGACAGTAGTACATGCGCACTGATGTAACTGCATAATTGAATAGTTATTACTATCCTGTTAAAGCTTGGGCTGTCGCCTTAAACACGTGAAAATAGTGACTTTTGTGCAGCACTAATTCAGCAATAAATGTCATCTTCAGGATTTTGTTTGCAGAGACGTCTGAGTGATTTCATGTTAGATCATGGACTGACCAATGCCAATTAGAGAACCGAACACCGAAAACCAGTAAGGGGTACTGGACAACTATTTTGGACAATTCCACAGTATGCAGCTATGACTCCACAGGATATGATTCCAAGATATTCAGGTTGCAAGGCTAACCAGTTTACCATTTAGCTATTGGGACGTATTCCAATAACCAACCCTTGAGTCTTAACTTCTGGTACTTAGAAATATGCACACCGCCACCTTTAGGCAGTGCCACCGTTGAGTATATCTCCTCACATCCGACGACTTGTTGGATCCCTCTGGTCACAACTTCACACTAGGACTCCAGCAAATCTATCCTGTAGCCAGTCATTTGTTTTTCGTTTCTTCACGTTTCCAGTGGAACGTACGGCTTCAAACTAGAGGCCTGAAGTTTCTGTAGTAGTGATAATTATTTTTACAGAATAGGGTTTCTAACCTCATGCCCAACCTTTCCTAGTTACCAGCTTTTTATTACTGGCTTAGCGAGGTAAGGGAGGAGTACGTTGACCGGGGATCGAAATCCGGACCACATGCCAGTCACTAGTCATTATACTAAATTCATTTTCAAGTGTTGCTTTGCAGGTGTTTGATCAGTCTCAAGTTTCATCACCAACTGACTGGCGCTAGTTAGACAACCAGACATCAAAAACCAGTAGGTAGTAGTGAACAGCTTTACGATTCCTATTTTGGGAATCTTCATAATCTGTCACTGATTGATGTCGGTCAGTTCGTGAAGTAGATTGCCGTGAATCAAATCCCCGCCAGCCAATACTTGAAAAGTCTTTTGAACTAGGTGACAGTGGTTAGAGTTGGCTGTTATTATAGAAAAGATGTCATAAAATTAATGATTTCACAGTCCTAATTTATCTATTTTATATTTACTTAGGCCTTAAGTTACTTTCTAGCACGAATTAAAAAGTGTTTCTAGATGAACATCGTATATACTTAGCTAAGGTAACTACGGTAAAGCGTGAACTCGATTTGTGTAAATTTTAATTTATGTTTAATTGCTTAGTCTGAGTAGTCAGCTAGCCAGAATTCGAATTGTTTTAACTGATTTGTCCCTCTTTGAGCTGAGTCGAATGAGGCACATCAGTGATGAGCTCGGCTGCAAATGGCTGAAACAGCATCCCAGTATGTTTAGATTACTTCAGTCTCAATAGCAAGCAAGCACTACTAGTCGATGTGAGTGCTTTCCAACAACTCACATCGTTCAGTCAGTTGTATATAGCCTCATGCAGTGATGCTTCCTTTCTTGATTGCCATGTATAGTAATGTGGTGAGAGCTGACTGCTAGCCAAATTGGTAGATAGTAATTTACGCCAATGCGTACGTCCGCAACATCGGTCGTGAGAAAAATAAGAACAAAGACTGATTCAACAACTAATCACACAGACTTTGCGTAGGCGGATACAGGTAGCATATAGATGATCTGACTTTCAAGAAACAGCCACAAGGAGATTAACTTTCAGTGGGAAACCACCAATCAAAAGACTTTGTTTGTTTGCTTAAATAATCTCTGATAATGTACATGAAAATCTATAAATATGTGTTGATTTCCTAAATAAACGATCTGTTACCTGGCCCTTGTCTTCTGTTGCTACAGTAGTATCAGGAAGATTGCTCAAATCATTGTAATTTGAATAATTTTGACTTCTTAAATACACTGTATTAAAATTTCCCCATGAAATGTGTAATGAGCATCTCTCAGTCACAGGGGATGAAAGTCCATCTAGTTAAATGAGTGTCAAATAGGACGAAATTTGCATCTTGGATTTCATTACTAGCAACCAAAAAAATAACATCATATTGACCACCAGACATAGTCGATGTGTTACTTATACTAGAGGCCGACATTCAAACTCAGACTGAGCATTTCAGTCCAGTTTAGTCGTCATTATCATTCAAAAGGTAAATACAAATTAACTTGAAGAAATATTCAAACAAATTTAATAGCGTTATCTACCAAAGTTGTGGATATATTAGCTTCACACTTACACAACTACTCATACAAGTATCAAACCAGTGAGGCTCCACCAGAATTGAAATCTTGATGATGAAAATAGCCAAAGTAAAGTATGTCAAAGTCAGTGATGAATTCAAATTGATCACATGGAGACGTATACTACTGAATGATTTATATGATTAGTCGGAAATCAACTACTTTAAACAGTAGTGTGTGACTGCCAGGCCATTGATTTCATCTTAACACCGTATGGCTGTTTCTCCAGTTCGCAGTTGACCTCATCAAAGGTTTGTTTGATTCTCTCAGCTATGGCCTACTGAAACGCAAAGCTTTTGTTGTCCGTCAAGACAGCATCTGTAGTTTTATTATACTTTATTATTTACACAGTTGCATATCAAATCTGCTACAGGATAATGACCTACATTCCGTTAGTCCCCGTGCAACCCCATCAGAGTTGCACTTAACTAGCTTCGTCTCAGACAGCCGAATTAATTCAAATCAGTTTGCTGAAATTAATCTGCAGGGTCTAACCAATTGTCAGACTGTTGTCTTATCCGCATCAATGAGAGAAACAGTGATGAGTACGTTAAAAATTAGTAAACGGGTGTTAACCTTGAAGGAAGGGACCAATAGCAAATAAATGTGCATAAATGGCCAGATTTAGAAACAGTAAAATGTCTATACTTTCAATGTTTTTTACTGTACTCAAAACTATGATGGACTTTAAACCCATTCAAATTAAATTCAAGTTGGATCCGAAACTGATATCTATTAGAAAACCAGCAAGGAGAACTAGACAACTGTTTTATCTTACTTCGAGACTGCCCAACAGTTTGCATCCATGACTCCATAGGATAACAAATGCAGCACTTTCAGGTCACCACATCAAGCGGTTTACCAATCATCCACTGGGACAGAGTCTAATGGACTGTTAATTCTAACTTCTGCCGATTAACAATACATGGAATCACCGCGGACAAGTGCTACTGGCGATTTTTCTGTTCTCATAACCGAGTTGGTGTGACAGGTCATTACTAGTGGTTTTCAAAATCGAGTATGAGAGCAGATGCGGAGCTGTGAAGATGAGTGACTGTAGCTTTATAAAATAAACTCTTAGGAGCTAGAAATAATGGGCCGTTGAATGTAGACCCATTGGCCGAATGTTCAATGAGCTTATCACATCACACGAAGACTCATATTTTAGTACCTACTGGCACTATCCGTACTTAGCATGAAGAGTCTGGGGACCTGGATAGAAGAGCTTTCCATTCTTTCCATTTTTCACTGGTGTGAGTCAGTCCGTGATCTAACTTGAATCAATCAAAGCCCAGCAAACCAACAATAAAAACAGTCAAACTGAAAAGCATAATTAATCTAGCATCTTTGAGTAAATTGTTAACCCCTTGGATAATGCAGTCACGGCTTTTACATTATGTTATGGGGGGAATCATTACTGTATTTCTTGGGCGCTGACATGACAGAAAGGTTGACCAAGCGAACTAACCAGCAACCTAATACCCAACCAATAGTAATGCAGAAAAAGAAACGTTGATGGGTTGATTCGATATACACGGGACTGAGAAGACATTTAAGTGACATCACACGCCCAAAAAAGGTTCTCAAATGTAAGCAACAAGTTGGTTATGCGTCTGAGTATAACCTGTAAGATATCACGTGACAAAGTGTAAGAAACAAACGCTTGTGAACAGTTATGTGGCTAGTTGAGTATGATGGATGGGTGGAATTGGTTGAAGGAACAGCAAAGACATGAATTCACGTGAATACAGAGAAAACGGGGGTCAGGAAGATGCCTCACCAACGACAATAAACATTAATCACTAACAGTGGGAGAAATCTATAGGAAGCTACCTATTCCACTGAATATTTAGGCAGCATCATTTCAACTACAGTCGGCACCGATGAGTATATGCAAAGGCAGGACTGGAAAAGAAATAGAGACTTTCATTGATCTGAATCCGTGTAGAAATATTCTGAAAAAATATAAGGAACAACATCTGAATCCTTAACACATAATGTCAAACATCTGCTTCTATATGGTTCAGAGAACTGAATTGTCATGAAAAGCACTTACGATGAGCTTCAGGCTTTCATCAGTACTTACCTTCACTCCAAAATGAAGATCAGGTAGCCAAGCGGACAGGATAAGCAGGAAGGAAATGTGAAAATGAATTAATCCAGAACCTATCACCCAACAAACATGCAGGGGGAAATGAAGATGGATTGATTGGACACACATTCAGAAAACTGCTGTGAAATCACGAGCCAGGCAGACCCTAGAGTGAAACCTCACTGGGAAATGATTTGTGTACAGGTCCGAGGGTGATATGGAGGAGATCATGAAAGGAGGAAATGAAATTTTGTGGACAACCTTGGAACCAAGTAAAAAGGGCAGCAGAGAGAAGGATGAAATGGGGATGGACTGTGGCTGAATCCCAGTGTTCAACTCGAAACCCAAAGAGACAATAATAATAATATATGCTACTAGTGTTGCCTGCGAAAAAGCCACCACTTACCTTCATCACTTGTAGGCGTAATGATAAACTGTCCAGCAGTGAACTTATCAATTACATCATCAGACGATGAATAAATATCTGTGTCAATGTGTAACTGATCCGCTTCAACAAGTTCATCTTTAGTTAGATATCGATTAAATATATGAACAGTAGCTATCTGATCCTCCGTTTCACTGATATGTGATTCATTGAAATCTCTAAATCGAAATTTGACAGAAAATTTCTCTGGTAAACTATTCCCAGTCATATTGTTGTTATTATTATTATTATTGTGAATACCACTTTTAGAGAAGTAATTCAGTGGACTTGTATTCTTGTAGAGATTTGAATTTTGCATTCTTCTCAATAGGATTTTTTGTAATAGCACAGACTGCTTCAATGAATCTGTCCAACTTTCTATTGTAGTTGTATCATCGATATTACTATTATCATTATTGTTCTTAGTATTTGTGGCAGCAGTTGTATTTATAAATAAATTAGGTATATTCTTAAGATTTTCTCTTAACTCCTTAGACAAATTCCATCCAACATGAATTTGAGTCAAATCGTCTATTAATTTCTCCTTGCCTATTATATCATCACGGCAGTTATGATGTTGATGTGTAACTGTGGGTGCAGATGAGAGCTGTGATGCCTCATGTAGCCCTTTATTTAAATGTTGATAATTGACCATTATTATGTTGAATATAATGTCGACTATGATGTTGATGATGGAGCATTTTCACAGTGTTCATTGCATTATCCACTGGCTTCTTTTGAATCATACGCGTATATGTATGTTTGTGCTTTTGTGTGAGCGTGTGTGTGTTTGTACCTGAGCGTATGTATGCGTGACATAATCAAACACTTCACTTATTATTCCTTCATCATTATTAAATAAACAACCAAATAAATAATCCTACTCTCAATGAATTTATTGTAATTATTGTTATTCCCGGGGAATTTTATTGCCTCAGTGATAATAAATGATAATAAACTGAGTGGCGGACATTTTACCCACCAATGGAAGAGAAAGAAAACTGACCACGCATTGGGTAAAATCTGTCTTAATTGGGATTTCTTTCCTACCTTGTGATTGGGTAATTAAGAATTGACTTATAAAGTTCTCTAACACTAGAATTCAGTATACTAATGCATTACAACATAGGTTCACAAGTTAGACAGCTGTATGAGCAGGAGAAGTACTTCTCTGTGTGTGCATGTATGTATGTATATATAAACCAACTTGACAAGTGAATGTTTGCTTTATAGAGTTATAAACACAGCTGAGTGGTTAGGCGTTTACCTAATACAAAATATTCATTCATCCTAATACCACTAACATACAGCTTTTAAATAAGTGCTTCTGTATACGTACATATTCGCCTATGTTTGGATATGTTTGTGTGTGTTTATGTGTGTCGGTACACTAATTTGTAAGACTCCTAGAAAAATAAGACACACCCATTATTATTATTCTTTCACTTACTGACTTAACAGCTTGCCTTGGTTTATCATAGAGAATGGGCAAGAAAAATTAAGATGGATAAAATTAGTAAATGGTCTTTCTGCCTACAAAGAAGCACTGGGAAATTCTAGTTAAAAAAAGAACAACAACATAGGGCAGCCTGAAATACTGAAAAAGAAGATTTGTAGCTAAGGTGTGGATGTTTTTGACGAGGTCTGTGTTGTATTCTATGAACCCTCTGTGGATTTTTAACTGCTCATGTACCTTCATTTTCTGCCATCTAGACAATGTGGTCTCAGTGTGTGTCAAATTCTTCATGAATCACCGAACTGTCTCCTCTGATAACTGTGGCTGTGATTGGTCGTGAATTTCCAGGCTAAATTAATGAATAGGGATCCAGAGGAAGGAATGCACCAATCGCCTTGAAGCACACAAGCAGATTAATTTAATGAAATCAGGTGAATAAAACTATAAGTTTGGGATGTAATGTAAGGAAACTAAACAGGATTTCTAATTATTTTTAGGCAAGGCTGGGGAAAGATTAGGCTTAGTGTAGGGATACACTACGATTAGGCTGGTGTTATGTTAGGGGAAGATTAAGGTTTGAGCTGAGTTAGGGACCCGACTTATCTTTTTAGTGCGACTACTCGTCTATAAGTTATTTCGGCTGTTGTTCCACTTGAGTCGCTTATCCTTAACTTCCCCAGCTTGTATTAGTATCAGTGGCTTCACTTATCTTCATACAGGTGCAATATTGACAGGTATGGGCATCAGTTTGACTGGGAAAATGTGAACAACAGAGTCACCAGTAAATGCCAAAAAATACTGGAACTCTGGTCATTGGATCAATCTTTTCTCAGTAGACATTTTGACGTAGATCAAATTCATCAACCACCAATGGAAAACAAGCGATATGGTAAAAAAACCCATCAAATTCGAATCCATTCAAGCGGTCGATACCAGTACAAATTGACAACCAACAGCAGTCAGTGTCATCAGAAAATTTCAAAAACCACTCACTTTACACTGAAGTTAAGCTGTGAGAAAGTAGTCTAAGAGACCAATAAAGGCTTAGCAATTAAACCACTCAGGCTGAGAAAACACAGCATCAAAAAAGAAAGACATGGAGACATGGCATGACAAACTACAACGAGAAATGAAAGTACAGACTTGAAGCTTAACTCCCCGGCTAAAAATAGGCAGCTTGCAAAAAAGGGCAGTAAGGATTAAACCACTCAAATGTATGTCACACATGAAAGAAACTAGGAACAACTTAGTGCATTATCTACTGAAGTTGTGAAGCTACTTATGTTAAACATACTAATCTATTTCTTCCTCATATAGATATATTACCTGGCATTGGATTAGGTTAAAAAAGAGTTAGGGGTGATTGAATCAAAACGCGGCATCAGTCTAGGAAATCATTGACTGTAAGTTTGAGTCAGTCTCCTTGTAGGAAGTTATCGGTTCCCTATCCGGGGGCTTTAAGAGTCATTCACGCTTTGAGATCTTCCAGATTCATTCAATCTTTATTATTCTCCATACATTCATTCTTTATCCTCCATATTTTCATTTAGTTCATTTTCTATTCCATTTCTGATTTTTCCCCTAACTACATGTACTTGTCTGTGTGTTGATGAAATATGCAAATTGAACTGATGCAAATCTTGTGTAAAGATCGGAATTAAGAATTCAGGTATACATCTCGTCGGCGGGTAGGTTAACCTAAACCTAACTGTAGCGGAATAGTTCTTTGCTATATTCACACGATGGCACAGGTAATATATTTTTAAAGGATTATTATTACTATTCGCTTGATTTTCAAGTGCAACATAGGGTTTCAACAACACATCTCCACTCTCTTCTATTCTCTGCGCTCCTCTTCATCTGGGTCCAAGATTCCCCATAATCTCCCATCTCCTTCTCAAACTCACACGATCTCCTCCATATCACTCTCACAATGACGACTCACTCGTCGCTTACCATTGGGATTTCACTCGAGCTATGGCTTCGCACTCGATGTAATTCGACGGCCTCCTCAATGTATGCCCTATCCATATACATTTCCTTCTACACATTTGTTGAGCATTCGGCTCTTGGTTGGTTTGCTCCCAGCCAGAGCTTCCTGGTGCAAGTTCTTTCTGGCCGGCTGGTCATTTGATCTTCAGTATGGAGCCAGTGAACGCAGCTGTTGACAACAGTCTGTTGGCAACCTGTTGGAAATCCTTTCCGTGACACGCCGGCCAAGTTTCTGACCCATATGAAAGGACTGACTTCACATTGGTGTTGAACAGAATCTGAATCTCGTTTGTTATACTGAGGTGGATTGTAGAAGAATCCCAAACTGGTTTCAGATTGATTAAGGTGTATCTTGACTTTCCAATTCCGACTGGCTCTGACATCTCCATCCGTCTAAATTCTTAGTCAGATAAGTGAAGGAGGTAACCTCTGTTAAATCTCTCCCGTAGATGGTATAGATTGGTAGTGATTGTTGCTGTGGTTGCGGTTCGTCAGTGATCTTCATCACCTCCGTCTTCTCTATGTTCACCTGCATTCGTGTCTTCGCTGCCAGCCAACCTTTTCAGCCAGTTTGTTGGTTTTCGCCAGCAAGTCTTCGAGTGTGTATGAAATAAGACAAATATCATCAACACGCTAAATCCAGATCTTCTACAGTCTTCTTATCGGTGGTGCAGCGTATTCCTGACTCCTCTCTCCCCACTCACAGTCCAATGCATAATCGAGTCTACCAGAATTAAGAATACCATCGGGGATAATACACAGCCTTGTCTTACTCATGTATGCCTTTCGAACGCCTCTTTGAGTTTTCCATTGTGGATCACCTGACACGTGGCACTGTCGTATAGCCAGCTGTTCAGTGAGGTTGATAAAGACTTGGGCACTGCATGCAATAGTGTTGAAGTAGTTTCCAAATTACTTCTCGGTCTACGCTGTCTGTTGAAGGCTTTTTCGAAGTCGATGAAGTTAGGGTACAGGTTTGACTGCCATTCTATGCTTTTTTCGATGACGATGCGTAGAGTTGCAATTTGATCAGCACATGATTTGCCTTTCCTGAATCCAGCCAGCTTGTTCCAGTGGGTGGCGTCGTTCTGTATCCAGTGCATCTTTTATTCTCTCCAGGATGATGCGACTTAGTATTTTATTTGGCGTGGATAAGAGCATTATATCACTCCACTTCTTGCACAGTCGTAAGTCGCTCTTCTTTGGAAGCTTGACAAGGTAGCCATCCTTTCTTCCAGTCGGTGGGTACCTTTCCTTATTTCCAAACTTTGTGCAGTAATGGCGCGAGCACATCTGTTGCAGTCTCTGGGTCCGTATTCAGTGCTTCGGATAGAATGCCGTCTGGTTCTGCCGCCTATCTGGACTTCAGTAGCTTGATCTCATTCAGGATATCTGCTTTCGTTGGAGAATTTCTGTCCACTCGCAGTTCCCTGAGCGCTGTAGGAGATGGTGTTTCTAGGCGAGTTGCAGGTGATGGTCAATTAATGAGTCCTTTAAAGTGATCAGCCCATTGTTTGATTTGTTTCTCCTCCTTAGTGATCAGGTTCCCTTGAAAATCTTTCGTTAGTTTCATCATCTGGGTTGATCTCTCCCGAATAGCGAGCAGCCTGGTTATCTGATATAATGTTCTGAGGCGTGTTTTGTCTGCGGCCTGCCTGCTTGTTCTGATTCAATTGCCAGTGTGTCTTAAAATTTTCTTTTGTCTTACCTAGCACTCTTCCTCACTTCTTTCTTAATTCAGTGCAGTGCATATTGCAGTGAACTTAGCTACTCCTTCTGCTGTCCAAATTTGCATTGAGTCATCCTCCCCTTCAGCATTCATCTCTCCTCGATTAGCTTCTAGGTATCCGTTGAGAGCCATTCCTTGTCTTACCTCTTCTTTCTTCCTAGAACATTTGTACACGTCTCCTTGAAAACTGCCTTCAGAAAGCTAGATTCAATGTTCTTCCATGCAGGTTTCTTCAGTGATGCCACGTAGTGTCCCCGACTTTGCTCTGATCTAATCTCTGGTGAAGGCATCCCTTGTGAGTTTGCCCTTCAGTTTCTGAATGTTCAGCTTGAATTACAATGGTCTGTCTCCAGTTGTTCCTAGGGATTTCGGCTTCACGTTGAAGGTATGTTCCTTGAACTAGATGACGACGGTTTGAGCCACATCTGGTCCCCTTCGCGACTGTGTGTCCAGCAGGATGCGATTCCACTTCCTTCATCAACGTTGACATGACGTGTGTCTGGTTTATGGTATGTCTGTCAGACAAAATCCATGTAACTCGTCTTGTGTATATCCTTGTGTTTGTACACGCTGCATCCGATCACCAGATCAATGAAAGCATAGTAGTCTGCGAATAATTATTCGTTTTCATTCATCTCGCCGAGGGCCTGTCGAACTATGATGAGTTCTCTATCCGTATTGTCTACTTCTAGTTCGTTTGGCATCCATATTGTCCATCAGGATTTTCATGTCA